CCCCGCTCCATCCTTCCAAGGCCCTAGGGCTCGCCCCCTCCTCACCGCGCACCTCGGCCAGGCACCGCCGCTTCCTTCCCGGCGTTCTCAGGCTCCGCGGCGCGAACTCGCAGGACCTCCTCCGCCGCCGGCCTTCTGGCCCCGCCCTCTCCGACTCGCCATTGGTCGGCCCGTCACGCTCCTCACCGCGGGTTGGCTCCCCTCACTGGTCCGCCCCTCGCATTTCCGGGTTCTCGCGTTGACGTCGGCTTCCCGGGAAAGACTCGCCGTGGGCTACTCCCATTGGCTGGTTTCTGCGTAGCTCTTGAGCCCGCCGTAGCCAATCAACAACAGGAGAGGCGGGACCTGGGAGACGGCGCGAGCAGCAGGTGCAGAGAACCCGCGCAGGTGCGGGTTTGGGCACACTAGGTGCAGGCGCGGGAGGTCGGAAACTCGCAATCCCGCCCGCTTCTCCCCTGGCCTCAGTTTCCGTAGGTGCTGATGACTTGCACCTCTCCACCCTGCTAATCTGACTTCACAGCCCAGTTCTTATCCTCCACCTTGTGCTACCAGGATTAGCTTTTCCCCCTTTCTCTCACCCTCTCTCCTTTCCTCCCTGACTTTTAAATTTGGATCCTCCAGAGAAGGGCCTGGCTGCTTATTTTGCTTCCTAGAGAGACAGAGGATTTTTTTCCCTTCATGGAGAAGCTGAAACCTCCATTTTTTCTGAAACCTCCATCTTAACTCACAAATATTGAAACATCCAGGACCTGCCCAGTAATTCTAAGCATTAAGATGTTATGTCAGCCCGGCTGATGTGGCTCAGTGTTCCAAAGCCGACCCATGAACCAGGAGATCACGGTTCAATTCCCGGTCAGGTCACATGCCCGGGTTACTGGCTCAATCCCTAGTAGGGGGCGTGCAGGAGGCAGCCGATCCATGATTCTCTCTCATCATTGATGTTTCTATCTCCCTCTCCCGTCCTCTCTGAAATCAATAAAAATATATATTTTTAAAAAGATGTTATGTCAACCGATGGTCGTTGGTGCCAGTGCTAACAGGAGTCTCCAGTTTGGGCTGTGGTGAGGTGAGAGACTATGCAGTGAAAACAGCCCCGGGGTGAAACAGCACAGCTGTGGGACAGCAGGCTGTGAGGTGGCCTAGCAGAGGCGGCCCCAGTTGGGCATCGCAGCCCCCATGGGACAACACTCCTCTCTGGTGAGCTAGCTTTGGTGTTACAGCTCCGCTCTGCCGTCAGGATCTGACCTCCTCTGCAACACACATTCCCTTCGGGGTGTCACCTTTGCAGTCACACAGCCCTCAGTTCAAACCCCGTATTTACCACTTGCAAACTGACTACCTTCAGCGATTTGACCTCGCTGATCCCAGTTTGCTTTTTGCAAGTTTGGGACAAGGTGATGACAGGACAGCCTCCAGGGTTTTGTGTGAGGGCGAAGTGACAAGTGTCTGCTATTGCACTTGTTTCCCAGAGGAGGGCGTGCTGTATAAGCAGCTAAATGACGGGAAGTGGTTGGTGGAGTGGAAAGCAGTGAGGCTCTGGGGTCAGACAGCTGTGTGTTCAAACGCAGGGCCCGGTACTTACTATCTGTGTGACCTGGAGCAGGTCACTTATCCTCACTAAACTGGGTAATATGGGGCTTGTGGACCTATGTCCTCTCCTCCTGGGCATAAGATGATATAATCATCTACTTTTATTATTTTTTAAAATATGTTTTTATTGATTTCAGAGAGGAAGGGAGAGGGAGATAGAAACATCAGTGATGAGAGAGAATCACTGATCAGCTGCCTCCTGCATGCTCCCCACTGGGGATCAAGCCCGCAACCCAGCATGTGCCCTTAACTGGAATCGAACCCAGGACCCTTCAGTCCTCAGGCTGACGCTCTATCCACTGAGCAAAATCAGCTAGGGCAATCATCTACTTTTAAAGGTACCACCCTTTTTTCACCCCTTCTTGGGATGCCAGTGCAAACTCTTTAATGAGTGTAGGCCATGGTAACAAATCCAGAAGCCATGTGAGAACCATTAGTGAACCAATAGGGAAAGGTGGGGAGTGTGGAGAATGCGAAAGCACCTGTCTTGTTCAAAGTGGGCAGCAGCTTTTCAGCTCTAGCCTCCATTTATTATGCTAGGGTGCAGTCCAGAAATTGGCAGATTTTCCAGTTTTTTTTCAAAAGATGTGTCAGGCCTAGATTTTTCAGCAAAATCTCCAGATTTTTAAACAGTTGGCATGTTTACTTGCCGGCTACAGAGAGCTGCCAGATCCCTGCTTAAAGGCTTTTAAAATGGGCGGTAAGCCAGCCCATGAGTCTGCTTACCTGAATGTGTTTCTGTAGGAATTTAGAGAAAGCTGGCAATAGAAAAGCCATGTTATGAGCCTTAAAGACACTGAAGTCATTAAGGTCCCGGAAAATAACTATAAGAAAAAAAAACAAAATAAAACGGGCAGGAAATGATGGCAGTGAACTCAGGAAGCAGCTCCACAAATGACTCTGCAAATGACTGCACCACCGTCTTTGGACACCAGGGGGCAGTAACCCACCTGGCGTCACTTCCCCGGTTCAATCCCCATTGTCAGGAGAGCACACTCAATTTTCTTCCTGGACTTTTGTCTGCATTCAGCTGTGTTAAATGCACAAAATATGGTCCCTGAAGCGATATGGAAACGTTGTTTTTCTCCGTCTTAAGGATTCTGTGTTGGGTGGAAATTGCCTCCCCGGGGCCCACAGAGGAGCTTTCTAAAAGCTTACCTTGACACTTGACAAAGAACCTGGAAAGCGGCTGTACGGGAAATGTGTCCATTATGCAAAACCAAACAAAACCAAAATAACCCTGAGGCGTCTCTAAGAAACAGCTTGCAAGCACTTCTTGCTGGCAGAGGCAGATCCAAAGGCTTAGAAAACACAAAACTCCCCAACTTCAGGCTGGATTGCATTGGGGTGGCTGCAGGACTCCACTTAAAGGAAACACCCCGTCCTGGTTCTGGCTCCCTTCACCCCCAGGCTCCGCTGTTTCCCAGCCTGCTCGGATTCCCCCCTCACCCCCACCCCCCAACCTAAGGATGCCGCAGAAGAAGGGACTCTAGCAGCAGCCCTCCTCCCTGGCTGCTAACCCTCCTTATTAGGGATCCCCAGTGAGGTCAGGCCCAGGTTTTGAGGCACCTCCAAGAGACAGACTTTTGGGGACCCTGTGTGGGTGCTGCTGGGCTGATGGCTCATGCTCTGGACTCAGGATGTTCCACACATCATACTGTGTTGAACTGATTTTCGTTCCATTAAGCCCCCAATCCATCAAGATCTCAGACATGCACCTAAGTGGTGTTTTCAGAACAAGTCGTTTGCGGACGTGATATTTCTTACTTTCAAAAAAAATCCAAACATAACTGCTGTTTTTTCTTGCTACGTAACCACCAACTACTCTATCCCTTAAAAGCAAGACGGATCATTATAGATCTAACAGAAGACACAAATAACAAGAAAAATACCCATGCACGACTGTGCCAGATATTTTTCTATGGAATTATGAAAAACTTCAGACCTACAGAAGGCACAGCTAATACAATGGGTACCTGTGTACCTGCCACCCAGTTAAAAAAACACACACCATATCGTCTTACCAATGCCACCCCTTCCCCTATGACATTCCATACCCTCCCTCCCAGCGGTCACCACCACCTTGAATTTGATGCTTATTCTATCCACGAATGGCCTCTTGCTTTTACCCATATGCGCATATTCCTAAATAATGTATAGCAATGTTCTGCATGTTTTCACATGTTATATGTACACTATGTATCCTTCTGCGGTTTTTGGTGTGTGGGGGAGGGCAGCATTATGGTTTAGAGATTGATATCCATTGTAATATACTTAGTTCTGGCTCATTAACTTTTACACTGCTGTGTAGTATTCCGTTGAGAATCTATTTCCCATTTACCTACGGATGGGCATTGGGGTCATTTTCAGTCCTTCCCTATGACTTCTGCAGGCCTGAGGCGGGCGTGCCTGTGAGAACAGTGGGCGCCCAGTGGCTGACCGCCTTTCCCCTGGCTGTTGAATGAAAGCTTTCAGGGCCTGTCACTCTCACTGGCCGGAGACACTGCCTTCTTCTGCCGAAAACGATGGTCACGGAGACACGGAGACTGGCTCAGGTGCTCCCGATGCCGTTTAACATCGCGGCCTCTGAAGATGTGACCTGCGTGGTCATGGGGGGGCTCAGGGTGGCCACTTGGCTGCCTGGAGCACAGCCCTCGAGGAGCCCTTTCTGCACCCTCCTTCCCCCACTTTCTCAGACTTCCCTGCTCCAGGGCTGCAGGCGGCCCCTCCCGGAGGTCCATCAGCCAGGCGGCCCCTCCCGCAGGTCCATCAGCCAGGCGGCCAGGGCGCGGGGCCGCTGCATAGAGAGGCTGCACTGCACCCTGGGTCCAGATTGCAGTCCCTTTTGGACGAACCCCAGAAGCGCTCAGTGGCGCTTTCTGTTGCCATAGTAACGCCAGACAAGGAAATTAACATGGGTGCTTGGCTAGCCAAGAAAGCCAAGCTTTTAATGGCGCTCCCCTCTCTTAAATAGATAAGAATTCCTAGGAGGGCTTTGGATAGACATCAAAGGGCCTTTTTTCAGGTGCTGAGAAAACGCTCTTTAAAAAATGCTCCGAAGGGAGGGCAGCCCTAATCAGAGAGACGGTGGCGGCGGCTTTTGGGGAGCTTAGGAACCTGAGGACTAAGTTTAGAGCCAACGCAACTTTCTTTGTTTGTTAATAACAGCTTACTCGAGATACTATTCGCATGGCACACAATTCATTCATTGCACGTGGACAATTCGATGGCTGTCAGTACACTCGCCGAGTTGCGAGACCATCACCACAATCGATTTTAGGACATTTTTATCACCCCCAAGAGAAGCCCCATACCCTTTTGCAATCATTCCCCGTGTCTCCACCCCTGTCCTCCCTCGGCCCCTGCATGGATTTTTCCTGTCTATTTCCCGTCTGCATGGATTGCTCTGTTCTGGACATTTCCTGTGCATGGACTCATACACTAGCTGGTCTTTTGTGACTGGCTGCTTTCAGCATTTCGAGTCTGTGCCTCCTTCAGGTCCTCCATGGCTTCTCCGACAGACAACAGCTGGAAATGGAGGGGAGGGAGCAGGCTCCTTCAAGGCCTCCGAGCCTGGCCCTCCCTCTTCCACCTCGAGCCTTCCAGCTGCTCCGAGACGGTAGTGGGACAGTGGCCCCGTGGAGCACGGCTGGACACGTGTCACTCCAGCATGGCCGACACGGAGGCGGGGGCGGGAGAACGCTGAGCACAGCCAGCCAGGGCCCCCCAGTGCGGGGCTTCGCATCACACGCTAAGACGATCGCCTTGTTACAGACCTTTTCCTTTTCTTTGTCTGAGATTCACTGAAAAGCCGCCTCTTTTACTTCATGAAGAGGTTTCTCCGAAGCTATCATCTGGGTCAGTTTCCTGGTTTTCAGCCATAAAAATGCATGTAGAAATGATCTCACTTTTCACCTCTGCTAGCCTACATATTTTCCTTGATTATTATTATTTTTAATTCTCACCGGAGGATATGTTTATTGATTTTAGAGAGAGAGGACAATGGAGGAAGAGAAAGAGAGAGGGAGAGAGGGAGAGAGAGAGAGAGAGAGAAAGAGAGAGAAACATTGATGTGAGAGAGAAACATGGATTGGTTGCCTCCTGTACAAACCCCAACGAGGGACTGAACCCACAACCTAGGCAGGCTTTGGGAAACACAGAGAATTCCCCGAAGGTGGTGAGCTGGGCTCCTGGCCCAGGGTGAGCGTTTGATGAAGGCTTGCTGTTATTTTCAGCCTGAGCAGCCAGAGGAACGTGGGGTCCCCAGGTTGGAGGACCACCCCTGCTCCTCACCCCTCGAGCGGCGTCCCCCACCCCTTTGGGGCCAGGGAGCCGGAGACATCTTCTGGCTACTTCTGAGCGCTCGGGCCAGATGGCTGGACAGATCTGAACCCTGACAGTTGGAAAGAAGCTGTGGGGTCTGGAGAGAGATGTTCACGGTCCACAGAGGCCCAGGGCACGCAGGGCCCGAACAGGCCTCGGCCATTATTTCTGGCCCCGGCAGGCGCTCCTGTGCCGGCGATGGCAGGCGTGCGGGCGGCCAGATGTCCGCGGTGAATGCTCCGCTCTAGCTGAGCTCCCAGAACGCGCAGCCCGCTGTCGGTGGACTTGCCCAGAGCCTGTACTGGCTGCGTTTTTGTTCTTGTTTAGTTATTACATTAAGTCTCCTGTGATTACAGAGCCGACAGCTGGTGAGGATTTGCATATGGCATGAAATTAAGTTAGTTCGTTTTAATGTCTAAACTGAGCAGGGCGCGATTTGTCTGGTGAAAACTCCATCTTCCTTATCTTCGCTGGCACATCTGCTTTGGGCACTGGCTTCTAATGTCTTCAAGTCTGATTTCTCCCCCCTTCACCCAGAGAGCACGGGGCCCCTCCCTCCCCACAACGAGAAATCCAGAAGGGATTTTGCACTTGGAGCTGAGAATGCTCTCTTTCAAGTTTCAGGAGAAATTAAGACTCAAGGTTCTGCTGTGAAAAGACCAGCGCCCCTGTCTCCAGCTTTGTGTCTTTTCTTTGCTGTGTTGCCTTGGGCAAGTCACTGTCCCTCTCTGGGCCTCAATTTCCAAAACTGTCAAACGGGGACTTGGAAGTTGGTAAGCGCTCATCTGCTGGGGTGTTTGTGGCATCTGGAGTGGGTCAATTTTTCATTGAGTGGGCCTGGGTGAGGTATTGCATAGTGTTTAGCATCCCTGGTCCTTGGGCATCGTATGCCAGCATCCTCCTCACCCCCCAAGCGCTGCCAACCAAATAACACCTCCGTGCACTCCTTAATGCCTCTGTAGTATCTCCGTCAGTGATAATAATAATAAAAATGCTCCAGCGCCCTGCCTCGGGCCTGGTCACCTCTCACAGGGACCTGCACAGTCCCCAGAGCTCCCTAGGGAATTGAGCAAAGGCTACCTTGTGTGTGACTGTCCCTACTGGTTTGTCACAGGAACATTCCCAAATAAATCATTTTTACAGTCTTACCTTAGGACCTGCTTCTAGAGAACACAACCCAAGGCAGCCGCCAGGGGGCGGTATAACCCAGAGTGTTGACGACCTCTGAACCAGATGATCTCACTGATGGATTTATTCATTCAACACATCTTTGGTGTCTAATATGCTGGGATGTCCTGGGAAGAGTGTTGTCCAAGTCCTGTGTGACCTTGGGCAAGGCTCTCACCCTCTCTGAGCCCCAATCTTTTCATTTGAGAAATGGAGGCAAAGATTCATCCCTCCACCCCGGGGCTTGTACATTGGAAAATAATACACCATGTAAGGTGTATAGTTTTCTCTGGGTTGGGGATTTATTTATGTCGGGTCTTTTTCTACCTTTTATTTTATTATTATTATTATTTTAAACTATATATTTTTATTGATTTCAGAGAGGCAGGGAGAGGGAGAGATAGAAACATCAGTGATGAGAGAGAATCATCCATTGGCTGCCTCCTGCACACCCCACACTGGGGATTGAGCCTGAAACCCCGGCATGTGCTCTGACCAGGAATCGAACTGTGACCTCCTGGTTCATAGGTCGACGCTCAACCACTGAGACACGGTGGCCGGGCTTTTTAATGGGATGGGACTGTGTATTGAATACGTCAGCTATAACAAAATACCAAGGACCCAGGGGCTTAAAGAGCAGAAATGCATTTACTCACAGTTCTGGAGACGGGAAGTCTGAGACCAAGGTGCCAACTGGGTTGATTTCTGGGGAGGCCTCTCTCCTTGGTTTGCAGGTGGCACCTTCTGTGCTGACGTGGCCTTTCCTCTGGGCACACAGCAGAGGGGAGGGGGAGGGGAGGGATCGTGAGGTCCTTTTCTTCTTTAAGGACACTAGTCCTATCTGATTAGGCCCTACCCTTATGACTTCCTTTAACCTTGATGACCCCCTTAAAGGTCTCATCTCCAAATACAGCCACAATGGGGTTTATCGGTTCAACATATGAATTTGGGGAGACATAAGCCCATAGTATGTATATAAAATGCTTGCATAATGTATAGCAGATGCTCCCTAAATGCTCATTTCTCCCCCCTTACTTCTTCTTACCCTCACCTTCCCTCCCTCCCTCCCTTCTCTTCCTCCCAACCAGTGGTCCATCCCGGACCCTGCTCTGGGCCGGGGAGAAAGTGCTAAGCAAGACAGCCCCAGCCCCCGCCTCCGTGTGCTCTGCAAACACCTGACCTCTCACCCCTGGGGAGGCAGAGCCAGGCGCTCAAGACTGGGCTTGAGATCCCGAACACGCAGTGTTTGAAATAAGAGCTGGTCCACTCGGCCCACAGGCAGGCAGGCCCCAGAACGAGGTTCAATTAAAAAAAAAAAAAGGGCCTACCTTGAAAATACGATTTCACTTCCAAATGCCTCTTTGCAGCTTCTCTTGAAATAATTAGCGGAGCCCCCGCCCTGGGCCTGCGTCATTGGGAGGCCTTTGCTGGCTTGAGCTGCACGGCTGCCAAGCCACCCTGGGGAGACAGGGAGAGTGGTTTGGTTCCTTCCTCCCCTGCCTGGTCTGGTTCAGTAATTATTACCTGCCCGTCCCCTGTAGGTATTAAGATCTGCAACCGCTGGTTTAAATAACCGTGACTGAACTTCAGGAGAGCCTGGCTTTGGGCTTTGACTTTCCCCAAATGGACAATGGGGTCAGTAGACTTTTGTTTTCTATTCTTTTTACATGGGCTTTACAGCTCCTTGAATGTGGGTGGGGTTTGGGGTGCAAGGGGGCTGGGGGAATTGGGGACCAGCATTGTGGTAGGCTGGTTGCATTGATGGTCCCAGTTAATACCCTACCTGTACCCATGCCCTTTGTCCTATAACTCCTGGCCCCTCCTACTCAGGGCTTGACCATGTGCCTTTCTTTGGCCAATGGGATATTAGCAACCATGCAAGCAGAGGCTGGAAAAAGTGCTTGCCTATTCCCACTTGCTCTCTTGGACTTCAGCAGTCAGCGTGAGAATGTGCCTGGGTTAGCCAGAAAACACACCCAGGCCCGAACACGAAAGACACATGCATGTGGGAGAGAGCCCAGTTGTCCCGACTAAGGCCATCAGCCCAACATCCAGCTGACCATCAGACGTGTGGGTGAGCTCAGCTGAAGCCAGAAGACCTGCCGGCCACCCTGCGGATTTGGGAGCAGTAATAAAAATAGGAGCTGGTTTAAGTCATTGAGTTTTGGGGATCATTTGTTACGCGGAATTATTGCAGCAGTTGTAACTGACGCATTTACATTCTATGCAGGCTCCCTTCCACCTTCCCAGTCTTCCTCCCTCCCTCCCTTTTCAACTGGTATTTATTGAGCATCTACTATGTGCCATGGGTACAATGCTGAGCAAAACTAGGTATGGTCTTTGTCCTTAGGCTGTTTACGATATTGCTCTATTTCTATCACCCACGTTGAAAGATTGAACTTCAACAAGAAGACAGTTCATGGTTAGAACGCATTCTGCTCCAAGGTGACCTGGGATGGGTTTCTCTCCCATAGAGGGGTTAGTTATTACTTCTCTCTTTCCCATTTTAATTGTTTCAGCAGCCACTGCATAGAAACAGTTCTTCCCAAGGAAAAGAGAAATCTTTTTGAAAGGATGTGGACAGCGGTGATGTTCTTAAGTAATTCATATAAAGAGTGAGTGATTCCCTGTATTGTTTTTATAAGGTAGGGCGAGTTTTATGGACTGTACTGTTTGATGTATTGTGATGCATTATGTTTTGGTCCGAGGTCTATGCAGAAAAGCATGGCATTTCTCTGAGTTCTGGGAAATGTACCATAAATAAAAGTGGTGGTTTACTTCTGGGCTGGCCATTTTCTCTAATAATGTGAAGACATGTCAACACCCATTTCTTAAGGGGAAAATATGAGGTTCTCCCCACAGAGGAAGAGTGACTAGAGCTTGCTGGGTTCTTTAGACTCTCAAAGGAGCAGGGAGGCCTGGGCCGGAGCCTGTGGCCTGGACAGGTTGTGGTCCTCAGGCTTCCAATGGACCCATCTGAGTTCAGATGAATTAGGGGGGTTGGCACCATCTGACTCCAGGCTCTTCCCACCTCCCTCTTCCCTTTGGGTGTCGTTCCCAAAGATGTGCCAGCTCTGCAAATCCCTGTGAAAGCGGGGAGGCCGGTCACGGTCCCATTCCTCGCCCCGGTTTCCCCATCTGTAAAGTTACCCAGCGATGACTTACAACCTCTTCAGTTGCATCACTACCAGCAAGACCAGTGGCATTCCTTCTCTGGGTTTATGCTTCTGTTAGGTACGTCTCAGAGACAGAAGACAGTGAGGAACGGGTCCCTACGGGTGGCAGTTCAGACAGGGTGTTTGGGAGAGGAAGGGCATTTGGGTTTGGTGTGTGTTTGAGGGATGCTGTTCGATGCTCCTCGGACGATGTGACGTGGCTGGTGCCTTCAGCAGAAGGAGCTCTGAACCGGGCATGAGTCCTGGTTTGGCCATGCACTGTGTGGCCTTGGGAAAGCCCAGCCCACGCTCTTGGCCTCAGTTTATTCCTCTGCGTAGTGTTTTAGACACTGACATTCTGGAATTGGTTGAAGCCAATAATGTTCTGGCCTATGTGTCGGAATGTGAGAGGGGGTTTCCCTCCAATTCCCCATCTTGCCTTGGGGATAGAATCCAGAGTGTGAATCAGGCTTATTTTGATTGAAAGCCTTAAAAACTGAGTTCAAATGGGCTGGGCCAAGGTAGTTTTCTGGCTGAAAAATCGAGGCACTGCCTTCAGGCATGGCTGGACCCAGGTGTCCTTTGCCTTAACCAGTTTAGTAACCCTGATTGAAAGGGAGAACCTTTTCCTCAGATGTTCTAGCAAAAGTCCCAGGGCTGAATGTCATTGGCTTAATTGAGTCACATGCTCACCACTGAGCCACTCTGATTGGCCAGACCTGGGTCATGTGCTCACCTTGGAGCTGGGGGCAAGGCCAGCCCCATCTAAAACCACCAACTGAGAGAGGCAGAGGTCCTTCAAAGGACAATGAGGCCCTGAAGGCAGAAGGATGGGCCCGCCGCCAGGACCGGGCTGGGATCTTATAGATGGAACCTTCGCCTTTTTCATTCCTGGAGTCCTGAATGGCAGAGCTGGGTGAACGCTCAGGGACTATGTGGCTCAACACCTCCCAGGCCCACATTTCACAAATGAGGAACTGAGGCCGCCTGCCCACCGTCCCTGAGTGTGAAACACCACATCCTCCACAGCCTGAGGGCGGGCGGCCCCAGGCCAGCTGATCTCCGTCTCTCCGGGTGGCTCACACCCACTGCCCCCTGGGAGGATCCTCACCCCACACCCACCCTCCAAGCCTGCAGCACCCTGGCACGGATCACCCACCACCCACCACTCACCTGTGGTCCCGCGCTCAGCAGCCTTGGCACTGCGCAGAGCTGGGTAGGAATGCAGAATTCCAGGCCCGCGTCGGACTTGCTGGATTGGGATCTGCATGGGAGCAAGGTCCCCGGGGACCGTGTGCTGCAGGCCGAGGTTTGGGAAGCGCAGGTCTACACCCCGGACCGCGGGCTTCCAGGGTCTGTGAGCCGTTCCACTCTCGCATCTGGATCCTGGGCAACCCCGACAAGGGCTCTGTCCTCCTACGACCTTGCAGAAGAGGAGGACATGGAAGATGGTGGCATGCTCTAGAATGCTCTAGAAGGTCTTCTTCGCACCTGACCTACCTCCTTCCCGAGTTGCCATCATCTTGGCCTTCCCACCATCACTGCCACCATCATCACACCGATGGTGTGAGAGGGGCTCGGGGGCCTGAGATCTGGGGCCGGCCCTGGGGCTTTGGTGAGCAGCCCGAGTTGGAAAGGACACGTTCTGGGCTTTGCTTTTCCATCCCATTAAATGACGTGAGCAGCCCTGGCCGGGTGGCTCAGCTGGTTGGGACATCGTCCCATACACTGAAAGATTGGGGGTTCAAGCCCCGGTCGGGGCTCTATCAGGAGGCAACTGATGGATGTCACACGACCTCTTATATCAATCTCTCTCTCTCTCTCTCTCTCTCTCTCCCCTTCTTCTCTCTCTAGAAATCAATAAAAATATATCCTTGGATGAGGATTATTTAAAAAAAACACACCAAAGTGAGCAATCCTTGCTTTGTTCTTCTCCTCCAGCGGTTCTCAACCTGTGGGTCGCGAACAATGAAAATACATCCTGCATATCAGATATTTACATGACGATTCATAACAGTAGCAAAATTACAGTTATGAAGTAGCAACGAAAATAATTTTATGGTTGGGGGTCACCACAACATAAGGAACTGTATTAAAGGGTCGATGAAGTAGCAACGAAAATAATTTTATGGTTGGGGGTCACCACAACATGAGGAACTGTTTTAAAGGGTCGAGGCATTAGGAAGGTTGAGAACCACTGTCCTAGACCCAATGCCAAGGTTGAGTGAGGTCAAGGTCATAGATGTGGGTGACAAGCCTGAAGCAACATACAGCTCAGGGCCACATTCCCCCTCCCACCCTCCCCTGCAGAGTGTGTGAGGTCGCTTCTGAGGTCCTCCTCTCTCCTCTCCTCTCTGGACTGGGCTCATCAGGGACTGGCTGGGCGCATGGGGCCACCAAGGGCCCAGGCCATTAGGAAGAGCTGAGGAACATGAATTACATCGCTCAAGCCACCTCCTCAAAGGACAATGAGGCCCTGAAGGCAGAAGGATGGGGAGTGGGTACCGAGCGATGGGCCCACCGCCAGGACCGGGCTGGGATCTTATAGATGGAACCTTTTCAAAGGACAATGAGGCCCTGAAGGCAGAAGGATGGGCCCGCCGCCAGGACCGGGCTGGGATCTTATAGATGGAACCTTTGCCTTTTTCATTCCTGGAGTCCTGAATGGCAGAGCTGGGTGAACGCTCAGGGACTATGTGGCTCAACACCTCCCAGGCCCACATTTCACAAATGAGGAACTGAGGCCGCCTGCCCACCGTCCCTGAGTGTGAAACACCACATCCTCCACAGCCTGAGGGCGGGCGGCCCCAGGCCAGCTGATCTCCGTCTCTCCGGGTGGCTCACACCCACTGCCCCCTGGGAGGATCCTCACCCCACACCCACCCTCCAAGCCTGCAGCACCCTGGCACGGATCACCCACCACCCACCACTCACCTGTGGTCCCGCGCTCAGCAGCCTTGGCACTGCGCAGAGCTGGGTAGGAATGCAGAATTCCAGGCCCGCGTCGGACTTGCTGGATTGGGATCTGCATGGGAGCAAGGTCCCCGGGGACCGTGTGCTGCAGGCCGAGGTTTGGGAAGCGCAGGTCTACACCCCGGACCGCGGGCTTCCAGGGTCTGTGAGCCGTTCCACTCTCGCATCTGGATCCTGGGCAACCCCGACAAGGGCTCTGTCCTCCTACGACCTTGCAGAAGAGGAGGACATGGAAGATGGTGGCATGCTCTAGAATGCTCTAGAAGGTCTTCTTCGCACCTGACCTACCTCCTTCCCGAGTTGCCATCATCTTGGCCTTCCCACCATCACTGCCACCATCATCACACCGATGGTGTGAGAGGGGCTCGGGGGCCTGAGATCTGGGGCCGGCCCTGGGGCTTTGGTGAGCAGCCCGAGTTGGAAAGGACACGTTCTGGGCTTTGCTTTTCCATCCCATTAAATGACGTGAGCAGCCCTGGCCGGGTGGCTCAGCTGGTTGGGACATCGTCCCATACACTGAAAGATTGGGGGTTCAAGCCCCGGTCGGGGCTCTATCAGGAGGCAACTGATGGATGTCACACGACCTCTTATATCAATCTCTCTCTCTCTCTCTCTCTCTCTCTCCCCTTCTTCTCTCTCTAGAAATCAATAAAAATATATCCTTGGATGAGGATTATTTAAAAAAAACACACCAAAGTGAGCAATCCTTGCTTTGTTCTTCTCCTCCAGCGGTTCTCAACCTGTGGGTCGCGAACAATGAAAATACATCCTGCATATCAGATATTTACATGACGATTCATAACAGTAGCAACATTACAGTTATGAAGTAGCAACGAAAATAATTTTATGGTTGGGGGTCACCACAACATAAGGAACTGTATTAAAGGGTCGAGGCATTAGGAAGGTTGAGAACCACTGTCCTAGACCCAATGGCAAGGTTGAGTGAGGTCAAGGTCATAGATGTGGGTGACAAGCCTGAAGCAACATACAGCTCAGGGCCACATTCCCCTTCCCACCCTCCCCTGCAGAGTGTGTGAGGTCGCTTCTGAGGTCCTTTCTCCTCTCCTCTCTGGACTGGGCTCATCAGCGACTGGCTGGGCGCATGGGGCCACCAAGGGCCCAGGCCATTAGGAAGAGCTGAGGAACATGAATTACATCGCTCAAGCCACCTCGAGGGGGCGCCGGACGCAGCTTCTAACAGGGGGCCCAGGAACCGTTTCTGGGAAGCAGGAAGCCCTGCGGTGTTTTATCAAATGTTTATGGCTGTTGGTTTAGGGGGTGAGTTTACAAGGCCCCGCAGGCTGAGCGCTGGGAAATTAAATTCCTTGCATTGTGACTCAGTCCTAATCACGCCGCCAGCCACGGGATTTATGGGCTGTAAAGTGTGGAGCACAGTGCAGGCCGGGCCTCGCTTCTGGCTTCCAGCCTGTGTCCTTGGCCAGAGGCCTCCTCCCAGAGCCGGGGCTCATCTGCCCGTTTGTTCAGGAAACACAGGGCTTGGAGCCACCTGAAACCGGAGGAGGCACGGAGGGATGATTCCCTGGACTGTCCGGAGGAATCAGGGCCCTATGGACACCTGCATTCCAGAACAGAAAGAGCGAATTTCTGGTGTTCCAAGCAGGGGGAGTGGCAGGGCCTAATGGGCTCTTGAAAGTGCTCTCCCGCGGTCTGAAGACTAACTGTGGAGGGTGGAGCTTAGGGGATGGTACTGGGCTGTGTGTCCAGCCCGGACACAGCAAGGGACAGAAAGAAATCAGAGCTTGACGACCACTCCAGAGACACTGCGGCCTCTCTGGGGAGACAAGGCTCAGTCAGAGCTCATAGCTGAGGCCTCAACAGTGGGCAGAGATTCTGAGATGACCAAGATCCTCATAAGCCGAGGACATCAAACCCAGGAGAGCTTCCCAGCGGAGGTGGCCCTGAAGGAAGGGCAGCGGTGGGCTTGCAGAGAAACGGGGAAGACAATGACATTAGGTGCCCCAAACATAAAAACTCTTCATACCATCGAGTGCCTACTACACGTACCTTCATTCTCCCATTCAATCCACACACAACCTTATTCCTATCCCCATTTTACAGGTCGGGAGACTGAGGCCCAGCTAAGTCACACACAGATGTTAATTGATGGAACTGGGATTGGCGCCCACACCCACCCGGGTAGCCCTGGCCTCTGGCTGTGGCTTTCAACCCCTGTCCTGCTCCCCGCACTAGAGAGGAACTCAGGAATTCCACGTAGATGTTAATTGATGGAACTGGGATTGGCGCCCACCTGGGTAGCCCTGGCCTCTGACTGTGGCTTTCAACCCCTGTCCTGCTCCCCGCACCAGAGAGGAACTCACGAATTCCAGGTCCTGGCTGCTTT